ATGAGGTTAGTCATCTTTCAATGAGGAACTTCTTTTTCAATTGAAAGTAGTGTGCACCTTAACTAAACAAATCTAGTTTAGTGGTAAGGTGCTATTTTTTTTTTGTTTATTTTATTTAGTTATCTCTCGATAAGACTATTTGTTTGTTCAATTTATGTTGAGGGTAGTCAACTTTTAATGATAATTGTTTTATTTTATTCATTTTGTTTCTAGAGTAATTGTCATTCAATGAGACTATTTGTTTATGTTGTTTTTTTAAAAACAAAACCATGCTTCCAGTGTTATTTTTTATTTGTTTACAACTTACTATATAAAGTCCAGGGACAGTAAATCTTTAAATATTTATATACCCTTAATATTATAAAGAGGAGGTAGTTGTCATAACCTTATTTTGATCCATTGATTTTCTAATTTTTTGTCAAAAAATAAATGAAAATAAAAATGATAAAAGCATAGGGGACTGAAAATGAAAGGTAAGAAAAAAATAGGATCAAAATTATAGGAAGTTAAATAAAATAATAAAGGAGGAAAAATAAAAATGATAGCTGAGCTTAATGAGAATTTTGATTGTCATTAAGAAGGAAATGAAGAGATTTTGAGTTCATTAAAAACATTAGATTATGATTAAGATGGAAATGAAGAAATTTAACTTATTCTAATAAATAAAGATTTTGATTGTTTTTCTAGTGAAAAAAACCAAGATTGTCATAAAGAAAAAAAATGGTAGTTATATGGAAAGAATCAATCATGTACACTTAAGAAAAAAAATGAAAAATACCATAATTTTTAGATTTTCATTAAATAAAAAAATAAAAAAATCATTATATTAATTGATATGTTATTTTCTCAATAAGATCTAACATTATAAATAGAAATGCATTAGCTCATAAAAAAAGGCATGGGAAATATACATAGACAAATATAGAAAGAAGTTTAACAAAGTAAGAAAATAAAAAACAAAATACGAACAAACATATCAAGACAAAAAAAAAACCTAACAGCCTAACAAAAAGACAAAATCCTAACCTCCAAAATGTTAATAACTAACAACCTCCTTCTTAAACCTAAATTAGCCAATCCCTTCATCTTATCCCATCTCTCTCAGTTGCAGCCATAAGACCACCTTTAACAACATCCTTGTATCCTTCATAACATCACCTCCATAAAATCCATCTCCATAACAGCAGCTCCATAAATCTAGAAATCACAACAACATAGCTTATTGGTTCCTATATAGTCAATATCATATAGACTTACTCATCTTCACCATAGGTTTCCATCCCCACCACTAAATAGAACAATGTCATAACTCTCATACTCACTTGTATCTCTAATAAACTTACCATAACTTTCTCTTTTTAAACAATTTTTAATGAGACCTAAAATTGCCTACAACCACTATAAATGTTGCCATTATATATGCCCAAACCCATATTCAAAACAATTTAGCAATATTCACATCAATTTTATACCCAAGAACTAGTAGTTTGTTGTTGATTTTGTAGGTTCAAACACCACACATGAGACAAATATGTCCTCCATTTCCCAACATATGTCTAACTTCCACATGTAAGGTACACACATAATCACTGCCCATTTCAATTTATATCTGATCCTAACTCTTTCTCAAGGTCAATCTCAAATCTTCAATGTTTTGATCTACTTACTTTGGATATTCTGTAATGTATAATTATGAATGATGTATATTTACTTTGCATCGTAGTCTTGATGTGTGGATGTATATTTGACATGTATTGTGTTTTTCATATATAGATGATATATTTTCCTATATGTTTTTTGTTTGTTTGTATTTGCTTATAAATATTTGATTTTCTATGCGAGAATGTTGTTAAATTCATGTCAAATAATAATTTTTGATATTTTTTTCATTATGCATTGTTTTGTTTTTATCAAAGAATCGACCTGAGAATGGTACATTCTTCACAAAGATCATGTTCTCAAGAAGTCAAAACTTTATTATCTTAAAAAAATATAAATAAAAAGTTTTTTTATCAAATAAAAGACTTAAGGATGATACATTCCTTATAAGGATCCCATCTTTAAGAAGTTGAAACATTGTTGTTTAAAAAAGTAGTTGTTTTGTTTTTATCAAATAAATGATTTGAGGATGGTACATTCCTCATAAGGATTTCATCCTCGAGAAATCAGAATCTTAATGTTTTCTTTTAAAAAACATAAATAATATTTTTTTTATCAAAATAATCGACCCGATAATGATATATTCCTTATAAGGATGTTATCTTTGAGAAGTCAAAACCTTTCTTTTTCTTTTTTAATCAAAATCAACTCATGGATGACACATTCTTTGTAAGGATCTTGTCCTAAAGAAGTTAAAATTTTATGGTTTTCATACGAATACCAAAAGCCTATTTTGAAAATATAAGTGATTATTCTTCTTCAAATGTGCTTCTATTTATTGTTATGTGTAGGTTTAGGTTAGATCTATGTGAGCTCACAAACACTTTATTTATTTATTTATGTGAGATATTTAAATTAGCTTGCGTGTTCCATGACTAATTCTCATGAGTTCTAAAATTAACGATTAAATAAATCTCTAGTGCTTACAAATACTTTTAAGTATGAGTAATGGTTTTTGAATTTATTTTAGAACATAAATGGATCATAGCTCAATTTATCATCTATCATTTCTTTGGGTTCGACGCTCATTTTAAAAGTATGGATCGAGTTTTATAGTCTATCTAGGTTCTAAATTATTGTCTTAAGTCATTATAGTTTTTTATCCTTCAAAACAAATATACATGTATTAGTTTATGCAAAACCTTTAATATATAAGCACAAAAGATATTTTTTATCATTAAAAACAAATAAGAAATAATTTATTTTATGTAGGATATTTTAAAATGATTTTTATTTTATTTTTAATACTACCAGCCCTAACTTTTAAAAAATTAGTTTAAATTTTTAGTTACAAGAAAATAAAACTAGGGACAACTAATTTTATTTTATTTTTATTTCGCGATGAACTCCATATACGGAGAGTTCCATCATTTTAAAATGCGAATTATATGTATGCAATTTGGCTACTTGTAAGGATTGATCTGTTTTATTAAAGCCTTATAATTTACCAGATGATGATGGACGGCTCCAATTGACTGGCTAATAAAGTATCTTCACCACCGAGTCTTGCCATCTAGAATCAATGACCGCACAGACGACTTGACCAGAACCACCAAAAACACAGGCACGTAAAAAGGACAGAACACACGAAATCAGACGCTAGAGGAGAGATGGCATCGGCATCAGCATCGGAAACAACAGCATCAGCAACTGAAGGACCCAGAATTGTGTGGAACGAGAAGCAACGCAGGTTTGAAACCGAAGACAGGGAGGCATACATAGAATATGTCCTCGTAAATGATGGGAAAGTGATGGACATATTGCACACCTATGTGCCACGTTCCAAAAGGGGATTAGGCCTGGCTTCTCACCTCTGTGTTGCAGCCTTCGATCACGCCAAGTCCCACTCCATGTCCATCATCCCCACTTGCTCTTATGTCTCTGTAAGTTCAATTATCCTATTAGTTTCTCTTTCTGGGTTTTCCTCCTTTGTTTTCCTGCAGTCTTTGATACTTTTTTTGGCCCTTTTGCCTTTCGGATCTTGTTATTGTGGTATGATCTGTATGCTTGGTGGGTTTATTAATCTTTAGGATATGGATTTATCGTTTTTGTAATATTTTTATATATGCCTCCGGTCGCCTTTGTGTTTTTCATTGACAAATGCAGGAAAATACGAGTAATTAAATTGACATTAACTGCTTTGTATCCTCTGAATTTAAGGCATGAGAATTTCTGCAATTCAATCCATTTCGACTACGATTCAACTGTAAACGTATTTCTTGACTACTGATTCGCATCCTACTGGTCTGATCAGCTACAATTTTTATTAGAACCACAAGCAAAGCCCCGTTACTGTTTTGTGGAGGCATCCGACTTACGAGGCTTTGTTTCTTGCCCCTTGCCTTGGCAGGACACTTTTCTTCCACGGAACCCATCATGGAATCCACTTGTGTCTGAAGAGCTCAAATCCAGCATGTAGCTTGCAGCCGTTTGCCTGCGTTTCTCGAACTGTTTATGTACCCCAGCTAGCGATATCCTAAGTAAACTGTTTTCATTAGGTGTTCTGTGTTATGTTCAGGAATCTCCCATCAGCATAATAAGAATCACTTCTTCGTTTTTCGCTTCCGGGCACTTGATTATTCTCACAGCATTCCTCGTGTAATTCCCACTATCAAAAGTTAACTTGTCCCTGATTTGCAACTTATGATCATCGTTGGTGCTCGTTCAAGGCAACTGCCACATATCAGACAATTTTAGTGCAGAGAAACGATCGAGAAACATGAAACTCCATTGTTTCCCAAATTCTCATGCCATTCAAGAATGCCAAAATGACGTCTGTTCGAAATACTACAGTACAGCATCAATTAGCCCTTCGGTCCAATCCCAGCAGACAGCATGATCAAGAACGTACATGCTTTGGCAGCGGAGTGACCTCCCATAAATTCCGCACATTCAACTAAAAGAACGACTTGCACATTCAGTATGCGACTCTCACCGCATGCTGAAAATGCTATAGAATTTTGATCGAGCAACATAACCAACCAAATCAATAAATGACCGGCAAAAGTACTGGAAGACACTGAATCTATTTTGTAGCATACAGTTTGTGCACGCATTGATCTAACCAATGGCGTGGGAAATGCATGCCAAGAATGTAACGATCAGCTACTTCAGAACAAGAGTCATCTACTTCCAACAAAAAAAAAAAGGGTCCATCGATGATCAAAGATAAAATATCCTGCATGCCATTTGGGCTCGTGGCTCAGTAATAATTACTAGTTCATGAATCTTAGAAAACTTTCCTGAAAAAGATTTGACTGCAACCCCCTTGTTTTTCTTGACACGTTCGCATCCCATTTCTAACATTTTTCACCATTTCTAAAGAGACTGAAAAAAAATAATTAACTGTCAAGCGTCTGTGCGCTGCTTCTAATTCTGTGTCCATTATCAAAACAGATAACAACATTTGGTACACAGCACAGCATTTCAGCTGATAAATACAATTTTAGAGCATCAAATGGACACAGAAGGAAAAAACGCCATCTGGTACAAAGATATCTTTCCGGCATCTTTACATATTTACAAATGATAAAGGTCCAGGTGCTACCCAGGTACATAATAATCCATCTTTTCCACAGGCAGGTTCAAGACCGATGCTTCCACCTATACAGCACACAAGGTCAAATGTGATAAAAAAAAAAAAAAGCAGTCCAACATAAAAACTAGGACAGAACTTGGCTGCTTAAGCTTTTAATGCTCCATACATAAGGATAACAGCAACATATTGAACACAATGCATACCTCTTCAAATGGAACAAATGTGAAAGGAGCAAGACCCCTATTGTGAGATACCCGTGAAATATCATCCTCAGGCTCAATTACACCATCACTGTTGACTTTAGTTGTAGAAAGTGAGAGTATATCCATCCTATTGTTAGCACCTAATGTTGTTCCTCTCAACCTGCAACGAAGTAATTAACAATAAAAAAGAATGTTGTAATTTGTTTGTAAGCATCCTTAAAGTCTAAAGTTAAAAGAATCAAATAAAAAAAGATAAATAATAATAATAGTAAAAAAAAAAAATGTCACTTATAAGCCAGATCAACACACACAAATACATCTACTTATCTTTTCCATTCATTAAATCAGCACAAACTTCGAGTGTGCAACATATTAAGGCTAGAATGTCCAATACCTCAAGCAGGCTCTCCACATGGTGGGAGGCAAGCCAGGGTACATGAAAGCGGCTTCAATCTGCAAAAAACCAGGTTCTTTATGAGACGGTATAGCATTGCAAATTGTATATCTGTCTAAAATCAGAGATTAATGAAAAACTAAATACAGTAAAAGAATATGACAAACAAAATTGTTTGCAATCTCATAGAGGACCATACCTCGTCATCTGTCAGTGTGTGACGGCCATTAAAAACATCAGTTTTAGAAGCACGAAAATTCATGTATTTCACAACATCTTTTACTGTTTGACCAGAAGTCTAGACAATGAAAAACAACAAGAAAAAATCGTTATCATCGAAGATAGAAAAGCAATGATCCCATTTGATATATGCACTATCTTACTGAGATTTTTCAATATGAAGAATGCACATGTTATCTTCGGTTTCTTCAGACAAGATTATTAGTCAGTCGAAATTTTAGCATCATTTTTAGGCCCACTTACGTAGCACAACTTACATAATTCCTTAGAGTACATAATAAGTGGAAAACACGTTAGCCATCATTATCACTAGAGAGGGCTAAAAAAGGCATGATTAAAATATACCTTCTTTTTAAGAGCCCGAATTCTCTTATCGATATCTTCAAGCTGAGATTCCATATTTGAAGAATCTGCCAGGTCTACAGAGGAATTTGAAGAAACAGCTAGCTCATTCATCTGAGATGACAATGATTCAAAAGATTCAGATGCACAGCCTAAATCTTCAGCAGGTACCAATCCCTTTTCCATGTTCCCATCTTCCATGGCTTCAGAGTTTTTGCCCTTTTCAAGTGCAGCCTGCTAAGGGGCATGTGTAGGATATAATTGCATCAAATTAAAAGGAAGGCAAATAAAATTACTAAACAGTAACAAAAAAAAAAAACATTTGCACACTGTATCTCACAAGCTCTAACAAAGTTGTCTTCCATCTGCAAAGATTTTAAAACTAATATAGAAGGCAGAAATTTTAGTGGCGCTAACTGCAATAATGCAGTTGTATAGTTTCGTTACAGAAACCAACTTTAAATGAATAGCAAAATCCAAATTAGCCTCTAAGCAATTATACAACTGATATCCGGCAATTTCTTATCAGGCAGGACAACAATTTCCTACTTCCAAGGAATTAGGAGATTTCCTACTTCTCTTAAGTGGTAATCTTTATAATTCTCTACTACAGTGACTTTCATGTACCTTGAACACACACCATACACTCTCTAGCATACCAACATTATCCTTCTGTTGTTTTTCCTTTTTCACTCTCAAATTTGCTTTTCTTCTTTGATATTTCTCTTCTTCTCTTCATTGTTACCTTACACAATATGACAATAGAATCTGTTAAAACCCTGCTTTTCTAGGGTTTTGATTGATATTTATGCTACTTGTTCATAATTCAATTGAGGGTTAAAGTTATAGACATGAATCGATAACCTATACTGCAAAATTCAAGTTGAGAGGGTATTATACCAAGTAATATTTCCTGCATCACGTTTCATTTTCAATAAGAAGTTAATCATCAATTCTAAATGTTGTGAGCCATAGTAGATTATCAAATTCTACCAAGTACCCTATCCAATACTATTCATGAAAATCACACTGAACATACACACATGTCAATCAAGCAAATAAACCAAAAGAAAACTTGTCAAACATAATAATTTGTTTGATCTTGGTGTGCAATACCTCAAAGAGCAGCTCGTCAGGCAAGCAACGGTGTATCAACGCTGGATCAACATTTACACTTCTACTAGCACTTCCATATGGTGCAACAGGTCGAACATTAACTCCATAAAGATCTGCAACACAAACCTTCAAAAGAATTCACACAAGACAGTTAAAAATATTAGAGAAGGGAACTGGGCATTACCAAGCCATGGTCTCTGTGCAACCAAGTACTGCACCGTCTTCAACTGCAGAGCTGTCTCCAGCTCATCAGGAACTTGTAGTACAAAATCTGCCAAATCCCAAAGCACATTTTATTCAAATTCTCAAAAAAATGCAATCGAATGTTAGTAGAATTTCTTCTTTTGCTCTATTTAGCTGATCATAAAAATTTAGTTAATTAATTAATTAAGAAAAGCTTAATATAACGCTTGAATTATAAATTTCCCATAATCTGGGACCTGAAACAGCCAAATCCACCCAAATTTCAAAATTTCATAATTTCCATTACTATAGAACAAATAATGGACGGTCAAATAATGAAATTGGACAGCGAAAATTAAAAATTAAGAGCAGAATGAGATTACCTGAAGTCATGTGTGTTGAGATGACCCTTCTTTCCTGACGATGAATATAGATAGAAGCTTCTTTCTCTTTTATCGGGAAAATGAAGAACGGCAAATAAAACACACACGCACGCACACAGAGAAACGGTGCTGGGGTGTAGCTGTAAATAGGTCGGTAGTGTTTAAATGGTTGTTTTTTAAAAGTATTTTTTAATTAAAAATATATTAAAATATTAATACATTAAAATAATTTTAAATTATAAAAAATTCAATTTATAAAAAAAAAATATTCTAAAAAGCTTTTTAAACATTAAAATAAACACCTTCGTATGAAAATTACCATACGCTGACTGTTGAAATTGATGACGGATTCACCTCGTCTTTTCTTTATGATTCGGTAGAGGGTTATGATTCGGTAGAGGGTAGTGAAACGATACTAAGGTTTGCCGTTTTGAACATTGACCACAAAAAATGGTGAAATGCGATTATGGCCACAAAACGAGTTACCAAACGCGGCCAATTAATTCAAATGGAATACGATGTTTGGTAACATGGAAAGTCAATCGTAGAGAGAGAGAGAGAGATTGTGGATTTTTTTCCCTTAAATATCCGTACAATTATAAGGGTTCAAAGTTATAATATATATGTAAATATATAAATTTTAGCAACAAACTAGATAATTTACTTGTGATATGCTGCAAGTTAAGTAAATTTTTTTAATATAAAAAAATTATTTAAATATTGATAATTATTTTTTAGTGAGGAAAAAAAAATCTTGTAAGTTCTATTTGATTTAAGCCGATTGACTTTATGGGTTAAAAAACAACATATACAACCCTAAATAAATTTTCAAAATAATATCTTTTTTAATATTAAAATAAAAATTGATCAAATTTACCCGGGTTAATATATTAAATTCATGATCCAGATTATAAGACCATTATAGCTCTATAAAAAGTAAAATAAACTAAATTATAAAATATAATTCTCAATTAATCTAATATTAAAGAATAAAAAATTTTACTTAAAAAATGACTCGAGGTAACATGTCAAACTTGCAATTCGAATCATAAAAACGAGATAACCCCATGAAAAGAAAATTCAAAACAAATTATAAATTCTAATCCTTAACTAACCCAATATTAAAGTATGAGATTAAGAAAAAAATTAAAAAAATATATAAAAAAATAACTTGCGTTAATCCACTAAATATATGACTTGGGTCATCAAATCAAGATAATCTTATATAAAAACATAATCTTATTTAACTCAGCTTAACTTGTTAAATTTGCGACTTTGATTTTGGTTTTGAGACTGAAATAACCTCATAGAAAAAAAATTAAATAAATTATAAAATTCGATTCTAAATCATCCTTATAGATCTAATGTTAAATGATAATTTATAAAAACTTTAATAAAAAAATAAAAAAAATAAGTTAAGTCAACTCGAGTTAACCATTAAGTACTATTCTCGAGTTATAAGACCAAAATAACTTAATAAAAATACAAACCGAACAAATTATAAAATCTAATTCCTAATCAAATACAATATTAATTGATAAAATTAAAAAAAATCAATTAAAAAGAGAAAAAGAAAGAGAAAATGAGTCAATTGGAAAAATAAAAACCCTAGTTTTAGTAATTATAATTTGATAATCTTCCTCCTCTTTCTAAAAAGCCTCAGAGTTCCTACTTTTTTGTTTATATAAAACTAGAGAGGAAGGGAGGCCGAGGGGATTAATTGTTTTTAAGAGGTAGAGAAGATCACCAAACAAAGGCTGGGGGGTGGGGGTAGATAAATTTAGCTTTTATATCTATTTTGTATTTATATTTTGTTTAGTTTTAATTGAATCAATCTAGTTCACTCTGATTCAATTGATTTTAGATTTTTAAAATTAAATTAAATTAAATTAAATTTTTATAGGTTTTTTAATCAATTTTTCTTCAATTTGATTTTCTTATTTTTTTTATGTTACTTAGTCATTTTGAATATTTTTATTGAAAAAGAAAAGATATTTTACTATAGCCACTTTGGTCATCATGACATGAAAAATTTATAAATAAGATTGATATAAAATAAATTTTCAATTAAAAACTTTTATAATATCAACAAACACCTTCATAATATAAACATTTTTTTATTAAGTAATAATTTAAAATCTTATTCGTAAGGTTGTGTGGATTTATTGCCTAGTTTACACCTTTTTCAGCCTCGAACCCCTTCTATTTCTTTTTTCGAACACCAAACTCAAAGATGAACCGCACAAAACTCAATCAAAAAACCTCACATGATTATTCTCAATATTCCTCGAACACCGTGTGGATCTTCAATTTGGAAATATGTAATATTAAAGCAAATATCTAATAATAATTGTTTTGTACAACCATATGATGAAACTTGCTTTTTTCATTTTCGGTTTTTGAGTTGCGTTTTCCCCATCAAACTGAACTTTGCCTCGCATAGTTAAGATGAGTGGATCGGTCCATCACCTCCCATGCACCAAGAAAAAGGGCAATACAAATCTTCGTCAGTGAGGCCTAAGATCCTCCGGCTTCCTTCAAGTTTCAAGTCATAGAGCAAAGCAGAATGAAAAAGAGGAGAAACATTCTGTCCCCCCCCGAAGCCCAATATCCTGTGGGCCTTATAAAGTTAAGTCTTTTCCCCCCTTTTAAGCTGATATTTAAGGTTCCCAGTAATTTGATTTTTTGTTTTAATCTCGAGAAGGATCAAGGTTTATTGACGGGTAGCTGCCACAATTTAAGATATACATATAATCCATATAGCACGGCGGTAATAGCATCCATTAAAAGAGGAAAAAGTCCAAGTCGAGATCCCATGGTAACATTTTGTCAACGATATAAATTGAAAGAAGACAATCCTACCTTCAAATCCTCTTGTTGCATCAACAGTTCTTTTTTACTGATTTTTCTTCGTTTGAAAAGCACCGATACCTGAGCCTCGAACGCAGCATCTTGGATGATCAAATGGGTGGGGGGGGGGGGGGGGCGAAAAAAAAGAAAAA